CAGTGATTTCACTGATGTTCTTATTTGTTCCTCCCCATAATCCACCAGTGCAGGCCATGCCAGGCCCCACGATGAAGGAGAAGCAGCTGGGGTCCTGCTGGAGGTTGGGATAGGTCTCAGACTCAAGCTCTTTGTCCTTTATGAAAGGATGGCTTTGGATAAGGAAAGCAACATTATCTAGGTTAAAAAAAAAAATCCCAGGAATGAGCTGAATGAGTGACTTGGAGTTATAAGAAACAGCTGACAGACTCCTAAAGCCAGAGAGAAGGAACGAAGCAGAGAGAGAACGAGGCTCGGCTCGCTGTGGTCCTGGCTGGCTGGGCTAGAAGACAGGACCGCGGAGCGGGGAAGGGGGTTGGCTCTGCAGAACAGGACCCAGACAGAAAAGGGCCTTGTTCTTCCAAGAGCCCAAACTAGGGCACAGTCTTGGAGTGGAGGCCGGAAAAGAATGGTGAAATTAGGCATCCTAGCTCTACAGTGGGCCTGTCACGGGCCCAAAGGGGTGGGGAGCAGAGAACATCTGGGAGTCGAGGCCCTAGGCTTGTGCCAAGCTGTCTGGGTAACAGGACACACTGTGTGTGCTTGGCTGGAGGTTGGAAAAGAGGGCCTGGGCGCTGGTGCCCGAGATTTAACAAATCCTCTCCCTTCTGCACTCTTCAGGATGCTATGGCACAGTTTAGCCTTAAGCTTCCAAATTAGGCAAGAGGTAGACCTGGCTGGAGAGAGTCGGGGGCGTGGAGGGTGTGGGGGTGGGAGGTGGGGGTGGGGGTGGGGTAGCTGCCCACTCAGTCACACAAAGAAAGCCAGGAGCTGTTGACCAGAGAGGGAAAGGGCTCCCACACTCCCCTGTAGCCTGCTGCTAGCAGGCCCCCTTCTTCCTTTGGCAGGGCCTCTTGTGGAATTCAGGCCTTGGCCAGAAATCTCTGCTTTAGACCCCAGAAGGTCTGAGGGGAGGCTCAGGAAACCTGGCCGCTGCTCTTCAGGTTTGGCAAACTCGGGCTTTTTCCAGCGCCTTGTGTTCAGCAAAACCGAAAATGTGTTTGGCTAGAAAGAAACCCTTCTCTAATTTTTTAAACCCCTGTGCATTTTTTACATAAATTTGATCCACATGGCTTTGATTTATTTATATTTAATTCGTCAAATCAAATTAGGAGTTACAATGATGAATGGTAACAATGGTAATTTCCAAGAAGGTTTTTGAGCCCTTTTTCTTAGAATTAAATCACATTTCTTCACCTCCTCCTCCCACCCGAGAGCCCCAGTCCTTAAAACTACCAGACTGAACTGGATTTGAAATTTAGAACTCAAATGTGAAATAAAGATCCATGCTTGGCAGAGTCGACGGAGCCGGGAAATATTCGGAGGAAGTCAGAGAGAGAGTGCTGGTGGGGTGCTTGTGAGTGGGGGGAGGTAATGAGGACAGGGAGGGGGTCTGTGCTTCTTCATTAGATGGCTTAAATAAATTAACCTGCCTTTCTGGGATCCCAACAGAACCCGCCTAGCCATTTCTCTCTTGGGTATGATTTTATCACCATCCCCTTGAGTAAAGGGTTTTAGCCTTAAGGAATGGAGATGGGGGGTGGGGTGGGGTGAACGAACTTCTTCTGTTCTAACCTCCACAGTAGTCAGTTCAAACTGTTCCTCTTCTAATGGTACCCTCCCCCACCCCTTCTCCTGACTCTGGCTAAGGCCCCTCCATCTGGAAACATTTAAAATATGTATAACAAATTTAATCTTGTGCAAGAGATCTTGGTATATACACTACATATCCATTAAGCTAAATTGTAGGCACGCAATCGTATTTTACACAGTTCTGTCTGGCCTAGGTTTACATACACACAGAGGCCATTACTGTCGGTCCCAATTACCTTTCCTTACTACATCATCTTCGGCTTTAGTCTGAGGTCAACAGTATTTCTCTGAGAAACTCTAGCCACTGAGGTAATAAGACCAAGGGTTGGTGTTGAAGACAGAGGTGTCCTCTACAGAGCTCTAGAACCAGTACGTAGTGAATCACTCTGACCCTAACCATGGACATTTCTTGAGCTCAGCTTTCACGACCATGACCCTGTAACTAATTAGATGTGGGTTGTAAGCACCAGTGTGCTACTTGACAACTGTACAACCTTGGGGGAGTTATTTTATTTATTTATTTTTGTGAGTCTCAATACCCCAGTGTACAGCATGGGGACAATAACTGTTTACGTCACCGCTCTCTTTGGAATGAGCTGCTGCCTGTCAAATCCTAAGGATGTTGGATGGGGCATGGGGAGACACTAGAAGTACACACTTTCAGTGAAACACAAGAACCACGCTTCTGACACCTAACCTGAGCATGATGGCCACAGGCAACCATCAGCCCCGCAGAACGCTATTCCGAAAAAGGCCTTTGCAGAGTCGGTGTTTTCTAAGGCTAAGGGCAGCACCATGGCTGGATGCTCTAAAGTCTAACTGCACAGCGACCGTCCTTCAAACTACACTACGCCACTGTCCCCTGTACATAAAGAACGATCTGCATGTGTGCATGGGGGAGGGAGCCTGAGAAAGAAGTTTTAAGGCTGCTGGAAAGAGCAAAAATGCTTAATTAGTGTTTCCTGAGATCCCCAGGGAGGCTTCTGGAAAGTAAAAAGGTGAGGGTGCCATTTAACATGTCGGATGAATGCCTTTCCCCCAAGGGGGAAAGTACAGTTTTATGAGCTCAGTTACAAACCCCGTGCTCAGTGGAGTTCAAAGGAAAGAGTTCAGGGTTCAGAATTTATTACTTTCCTCCGGCGAGAAGCAGCTTTAGCAGTTATTCCCTGGTCCTGATGTTGGCCAGCGTGGAGGGATTAGGAACTCCAGGGGACTTTGGATATTCTGTCCAACTGTGGTCCTTACTATGAAGAACTGTTGCAGGAGTTCAGAAAGAAAACACCTGTCCACAGGCTCTGGGTGTGGACTGCCACCATATTTTACTAAGCCAACTTCATGTATAACCCCAGGGTCTATCGGAAAAGACGTCTTTCATGCCTAATGTTTATGCCTAGAAATTTCCATGCCAGCTCCAACTCAGACACTCTCAAAAAGAATTATCCTTGTTTATAGAGTTCTGCTGGGGAACTGGAGGGCCTGGATGGCTGTTTTTAACCCCAGCACTCAGGAGGCAGAGGCAAGCAGATCTGTGAGTTCAAGGCCAGTTTGGTATACAGAGTGAGTTCTAGGACAGCCAGGGCTACACAGAGAAACCCTGTCTCAAAACCCCACTACTGCCTCCCTCCGACAAAGAAAAGATGAGGATATGAAGGAAGGAAGGGAACATATTATGGAAAAGGGAACTTGGGAGGGGCTAGGCATTGGGGGGCATTGATCAAAATATATGTGTACATATATGAAATTTTCAGGGAATAAATTTAAAAAAAAAAAAAAGACAAAACAAAGCCCAAACTCACAACAACAAAAACAAAGTCTCCTTACTGTGAAAAATCCACCTCTAAACCATCATTACATTTGGTTTCTTCGTTTTCTGGGACAGGGTCTCAGTATCTAGCCTTGGCTAGCTTGAAACTAACTCTATAGATCAGGCTGGACTCTTAACTCAAGAGATCCACTTGCCTCTGCCTCCCAAGCGCTGGTATTAAAGGTGTGTGCCACTATGCCCCACGTCATTTGATTTTTTTTTTCAGATTTATTTATTTATTAAGTACACCAGAAGAGGGCACCAGATCTCATTACAGATGGTTGTGAGCCACCATGTGGGTGCTGGGAATTGAACTCAGGACCTCTGGAAGAGCAGTCAGTGCTCTTAACCTCTGAGCCATCTTTCTAGCCCATGTCATTTGATTTTTGAGACAGTCTCCCTGTGTAGTCCAGACTGACTTGAACTTTTAGTGACATTTCTGCTTCTGTCTCCTAAGTACTAGGATGACTGGCATATGTCACCATCCTTGGCCTACTATTAGACTTTTATATTATTAGATTTTTTCCCCGAGCATGGAAACAAAATCTTTTCTAAATAATACATCAGGAAAGCCAATATATAACCTCATAACATTTCTAGAATTGTAGTAAATACTGTAGGATTTTTTTTAAATAGACAAAATGACAAATGCATTTTTTCAATGAACTTCTCCAAAAGACGCTTGAATGACCTAAGTTCCCTAGTTAACCACAATCAAGTGAGGTAATACATAGATGAATTGCTGAGCTACAAGGTATTGAGCAAAAAAACCTCAGAGAATATTTCCCTGTGCATATGAAGAGTACATGAAGAGAAGACTTCCGTCTGAGGAACAGAAATCAGGATGTCCCCTTAGACCAGTGGTTCTCAACCTTCCTAATGCTCTTTAATACAGTTCCTCATGTTGTGGTGACCCCCAAACATAAAATTATTTTTGTTGCTATTCCACAACTGTAGTTTTGCGACTGTTATGACTCGCAATGTAACTATTTGGAGACAGAGGGTTGACAAAGGGGTCGCGACCCACAGGTTGAGAACCACTGTCTTAGGAGCTACATTTGAGCTAAACCACAGAGAGAAGTGGATGTTGTGGATGGAGATGAGGGCACTCCAGGCAAGGCTAGATGTCAACAGGCATGAGAAACCGAAGGTCATACGCGGTAACTGAGTTCCTTTGGTGTGTGCCGGGGAACAAAGATCCGATTAAAAATGTAGATCAAATGCAAGCCTGGAAAGGCAACTGGAGTTGGGCTTTGCTCCGAGCCACGGAGTGCCACTGAGGACCCCTGAGACACGAGGAGTCAGAACAGCCCTTTTGGAATAGTCACTATGCAATATGTGGGAGGAATTAAAGGAGGTGATGAGGAGGAGACGTAGCTCTCACTAAGTAGGAGATGGTGAGGGTATGGATCCAGGTAGTCGAAGTGAGAACAGGGTGACACCAGAGACATTAGTACATGGAAGTCATGCTGGCTATTGTTTGGATGTGGGGTGGAGGTCAGGGAAGGCATAACGCACAAAATACTTTGTTGTACAAAATAGAAACAAAAACTTCATGTGGTACCTCTGGAGCTGAAGACAGGAATGGTTTTATGTAGATGTTGGAGTCATGAACCTTCAGGTCATGGTCCCCAAGTCCCCTGGTCACTCCAATAGTCGCCATTACCCGGGCCTAGGAGTATAAACAGAGAGTTACCAGCAATGCACACAGTGACAGCATCCTGTCCCGGTTCCTCTTGCTTATCAGTCTGTGCTGTTGGCTGACAACTGGGATGTGTAGTATTAAAAAGGAAGGGCTCATAAAAATCACTGCTCTATCTTAGGCTTTACTTAGGTTGCTCTGCTCTGCCTTTAGCTTTCTTCTGTAGAGCCTGGAGTGAAGAGCGCTGAAAATAAACTAACACATGGATCATCTACAGCTGCTGAAGTCAGTTCATACTAAATCAAGAGCATCCACCCACCCATCCACCCATCCACCCACCCATGATCCATCTATCCAAACACACTCACGCTACAAGTATTTGCTGGATCCTAGCTACATCCTCAGCAATATCAGAGGCAATAACAAAGGATGAAGTGGGTCTGAGGCAGCTCTTGTCTTTGCAAATCTCAACTATTAAGTTTTATGGCTGGAGAAAATAAATCTTTTAGAGACTCCATGATCTACTTCAATGTTCCTACAAATTCCCTCTGGGTGGAAAGGAACAGAATGTCACTAGTACATCTCTGCCTTTCTCTACTTGTTTATAATGGTTTATGGAATTAACATATTGCATTAATATCTACACTGTCACTTTAAATATCTTCTAGAGCATCTAATATGCACACACTGTATGGAAAGGACACAAGGCTTCATCTCTACTATGAAGAAACTTGGTAAAGGAGGCAAGGGGTACATATCCAACTAATATATAAAATGTACTTAAGTTCTGGAAGGCACACAAACAACGGGATATGTGAATTTAGAGAAAACAAAATTTCTACTGAGACGGTCTCATGGTGGAGGCAATACTATTTGGTGCCAAAGATGGACAGTATCAGACAGGCAGACACAGAGGGATAGACTGCCTGTCAGGCTGAGGGATGTGCAACCTAATGGCGTTAACATTATGCCCCCAATAATAGAGGCCATGTAATGCTGCAGTTCAAAGACCTGAGCTGGGATTTTCCTCTGTGACTTGAGTAGTAAGAGTAAATTCCTCATACAGGCAAGGATGAAGTAAATAAAAGCAGCAGCACTTGAGTTGAGGCCAGCCTGGTCTACAGAGTGAGTTCCAGGACAGGCTCCACAACTACACAGAGAAACCCTGTCTCAAAAACAAATAAAAACAAAAAAAAGCAGCAGCACTAAGTTCAGGATAAGAGAGTAGGCACTTGCTACCAAGTGCCAACCTAAATTTGATCCCTGGAATTCACACGATGGAGGGAGAGAGAGAGAACTGCAAGTTGTCCTCTGATCTCTACACAGGCGCTGTAGTTCATAAATAAATAAATGTAAAACAACAAAAAAAACAAAGAGAAAGAAAGAAAGAAAAACCCATTATAATCTAATACAGTCTCTCCACCTTTGTCTCTTTGAGGCGCTGTGGGTTTGTGGTTGTCTCAAGTTAGAAGGTAGACATAGTTTACGGTACTGTAGAAATGAGCCGATGATATTTTCGGGGCCGGGCTTGAAACAGATCTCACACTGAGGCTCAGGTTGGCCCTCAACTCACTGCAATCCTCCTGCTTCAGTCTTGAGCCACCATGCCGTGCGTGTGTGTGTGTGTGTGTGTGTGTGTGTGTGTGTGTGCGTGTGCGTGTGCGTGTGCGTGTGTGTGTGTGTGTGTGCGTGTGTGTGTGTGCGTGTGTGCGCGTGTGTCCTGTGTACCACAGGACTGTGTGGAGGTCAGAAGACAGCCTCAGGAGTCAGTTCTTTTCTTCCTTCCACATGTGTGCTCCAGGGACCAAACTCAGGTTATGAGGCTTGGAGGCCAGTGTCCTCACCCCCATGAGCCGTCTCACTGACCTCCATGACACATTTATGGTCCCAGTTCAAAGGGTATCCAAAAAAAAGACAGGGATGTGAAGCCAGGGACCTGGGACCAGAGAGTCTTCAGAAGCCCTCTCTGCTGGGCTGTGAGGCTGGACAGTTCTCCTTCTAGTGAAGGAGTGTCCAGCTTGAAATGGGTACGGTCTGGGTCTCTTCACACGGCCCTTCTGCCTTCTCCCTGCAAGAGCAGCTTCTCGGGCTGGAAAAACCACACGCCCGCGCTTAGATCAAAGAACGTAAAAGCTACTGGAAGCGACTGAACTTGTTTACACGTATACAGGTGCTACCCACAAGGATACTTAGAATTTCTGGAAATAAAAAGTAACAGCTGTGAAAAATACACTGCCATGCCTGAGTAGGAGTTTGCAAAGAGGGGGGGTGGAGAAAGACTCCAAGAAACCAAGGAGAACTCAGACAGGGATGGTGTACCCACTTTCTTCCAGGGTGGAGTAGAGATGTGTCCGGTGGTTTTCCACAGCGCCAAGGAGCTACAATGGCAGAACTCACCCATCACTCCTCACAGGACTGCCTGCCTGCCTTCGTGAGCCGACCTGAGAGGCTCTAGGATATCTTGGTGAATCAGAGGTTTCAATTAACCAAAATCTTTTAAGTCTCATTGTTGAAGCCGCACTTCCCTGTACAAGACCAAGCCCGCTAAAAAATTCCAGCACAGGTCGGGGAGGTGCTAAAAATTCCAGCACAGGTCGGGGAGGTGCTCTGCAAGGCTTGCCCCTGAGAGAGGAGTTAATTGGCAGCTGATAACTGCTGGGGAAGGGAGAATCTTTCTCTTTTGAGGGTGTGGCCACAGGTAGGGTTCCTATGCTCCCAAGGATGGCTTCACACCATGAAACTTAAGGGCAGCACTAACTGGATACTATCAAGTGGGTTATAAAAGAAATGAAGTTGGGGGTGGGGTGTGTTGGAGAGGGTATGGAGGGCAACTGAAGCGGGGAAATGGAGTGATGGGTATCATGGTAGACATGTATGCGATTCTTAAGAAAAATTAGTTTTGAAAAACAACAACAATCTCCGTGCTGATGATAGCCTTCTAAGGAAGACAGCAGTCCGTTTTCCCGTTCAGGAGAGCACACGGAACGTAAGCGAATGTTATGTACTCAGTGCTTCCACATGTATCAAGGTCAGGGACTGGGGGGCGGGGACAGTACTGGGCCCACACTAGAGACCTTGCTTCGATAGTCTTGTGAGTTGTTTCTTCTGGATATAAATACTATCTAATACTGATAGACAATTCGCTTGAAGAATCTTCTTACTGGGGTCACATTGCCCACTTCTAATTGAAACTCTTAGCTCTGAATGGAAACAGGCTGTGTTCGTAGGACGTGTTTAAATGGGTATGGATTCACAGGTCAGTTATCTCAGCAGTAGCATCCGGACTTCCTCCGAATCTGCTCACACGTCCCATGTCTATAGTCCTCTTTGAGCTCAATCATGCCATTCAGCGTTTGCTTCTGACAGGGGCACTGGGACCCAGTGATGGTTCTGTTATCTCCGTCTGGGCTACTGATCCTGTAGTGTAATTACAGTGACACTCTGGAGTCCCTTTGTTGGGGACAGAGAAGAAAAGCTGGCTTGCAAAGTCCGTTTGTACGTCAGTGGTGGCACCAAAGGACACTAGCTGAGAGGAGAAAGCCAGAGTTCCACACCAGTGCTGTCCTCTGCCGGTGTGTGGTTCTGCCTGGGTGGCTGTCATCTTGAAGTTCCAGCTGCCTAGTCCACCACGCAGAGGTGACACAGCCAGCTTGACTGGCCTCTGAGCTGATGTCAAGTTATAAAATAGGATGATGTATGTGGAAGTGGCTGTGTTTAAACCTGTAAAGAGTGACTCAAATGGGCAGGGAAAGGGATGCCATTTTCACAAAACTGACTGCTCACCCACACCCCTCAAATCCTGCCACTCTCTGGACCCTCAAGACAGGTGACCTGAAGAATGATGGATGTGATGTTGTTCAAGTCGTCACGGCTATAAAATCCCAAAGCGCTGAGTGGAGCAGACGGACCGCCCCGGACGACACCAAGCCCACGAGGCCACAGATGCCTCCTCCCATTCCAGGGATGAACCTGTGCCTACCTTCTTGCCTTCTCCATATATAAGGGGAAACTTCAAGTCTTCATCCTCAATGGTTTTGTATGCCCTGGAGGGGGACAAATAACATTGTAACACAGGTTTGCACTCAATTAATGACCTCCGCCCTGACAGGGGGCTGCTAGGAGCCTCATGTTCCTAGGGATCCCATCCACGTACCACACTGTCCACCTCTTTGTTTACACAGCCATTTTCTATTCTCCAGACAGAAGAGTGTGTGTGTGTGTGTGTGTGTGTGTGTGTGTGTGTGTGTGTGTGTGTGCATACACCTTGACAAGTCAGGAAATACCAGGTCTTTGTGTTCTTAAAGAGGGAGGAAGCTACCGTGATTAGTGAGAAGGGGAGATGGACCTCTGTTCCTAGTGCCCTGGCGATACGGAAGCGATCCAGGCGCTGGACCCTGCTTGCAGTCTGCAGCTGTGATAAACAGCAGTGCTCAGGGGGTAAATGGAGTGTGCACACCCTCCAAGAACCAGTTCTCACCTTCGGGGGATGTTTACATCAAACATCTTCCCTCGGGATGACTGGGGGTGGACGGCACAGCGCCCGTTTGACCTCTGGATCAGAGTCAAGGTGGGTAGAAAATGGTTTCACAATAGCTTTCAGAGGGCCATTCGCCACACAGAAAACTACTTGATACGTCACTGGTCTGCGGCAGACAGAGATGTCTAGATGTCACTGCTAGTGAATGAAGCCATGTGTCCTAGATCTACCCATAAGCAAGTTAAAAAACAAACAAGCCAACACCATAGCCAGCTACTATCTATGTCCTTTGGCCAAAGCAGATCTACCTTTCTGCTTCGTTTTCCTCCTCTATAAAGTGAGGATAGAGCACAAGATACAAAAGGCTCATCACAGAGCCTCTGCTCATTAAGGACCCAATTAAGGACAGCTATTAGCAGAATTTAGCAGGTAATTAATTTTTGGTGTAACACTTCCCCTTTCTGCAAAATGGTGGTGGTGGTTGGGAGGAGATATCACTACTCATTCACCACCCCAGAATGAATGTGTGCTGGGGTCCTCAGGACTTCATTAATCAACCAAGGTCATAAAGTTATTAGGAAGAGTAAGTACAGGCAGGGTAGGGTAGGTTTAGAATGTATGGAGAAAACCCATTTATTAAATGGACTCTCAGACCTATACTTTCGGCAGCTAGAGAGTGAAGGGGAATCAAATTTATGGACTCTGTTGATATATAGAAGCATGCAACCCATATGAAAAGGCACTGAGAACAAAGTATGATGACATGTGATAAAGACAACATACTGGACCTCATTCACCACACGCTAAACCTGAAAATTCAAAGTTTTTACCAAGTGTGCACCCTCAAGGTGAAAGAAAGCATGCCCGGTTGTCCAGAGAACTATCTGGACATGCCATTCTTTCCCGGGTTAGAGAATCGGTGAGCTTGTGCCATCAAATCCACCCGGGTTCAAGTTTAGCAATGAGTAAGTGGACGTATCCTCTGGACCTCAGTATCCACATCAATCAAACCAGGCGAGTCGACAACGATGTACAGAGTTGAGTATGTGCTCGGCTATGCTCAGAGTGCAGGAAAACCACCGCAGTTCCCGGCAGGTGAGCCCAGGGTAACCCAGAAATTGAATTTTCAAGAAAAAACAAAAACAAAAACACCACAGTATTTCCTTCCCTTAAACCTATCAAATTAACACAAAGTGGAAATTAGCCACTTTGATGTTTAATATACTCACACGAACTATTTTAAACACTGCGGTACATAAGCCACTTGGGGGAACAAATAAAGCTATTATTAGAATCCAGCCCCAGCTTAGGGATCAACTGTGTTGAGTGGTTCTCAACGTCGGCTGTATAATGAACCACCTGCCAAGGCTTTAAAGCATCCTGAGCCCCAGGCCACATCACGGAGCAGACTCTCTGGAAAGAGACGTGGGCATCAGGTATTTTGTTTTTGAAAGCTTCCCTGGAAACGCTAACGTACAGCCATAGTTGACTCTGTTGTAGACCGAGCTCCGGCGAGCTTACCTTGGAGGTGAATTAAGCAGTGAGGCCCTCATCATTTGACTATTGAGAGGAGCGGAAGCTCTGAGGAGGGGAAGGAAATGGGCTGAGAAAGGATGCTGCGTGGGTGGGAAGACAGTCTCAGACAGGGAGGCGATGTGGTAAGAGTCAGACATGGGGAATGGCCGGCCTTGGGATGCTAGTCAAGGAGTTTGGAATTAGGAAGGAGACAGACAGCAGCAGATCTAGAATTAAAGACGGGAAAGCACTCCCTAGAGACTGGCTACGAGATGCACCTGGCTTGGGAAGGCGGAGAGAAAACTGTTCTAACGCCACAAAAAGCTCAGATCATCAAATCCTCTCCGGACACAGGCCACCAGGACCACAAAATCCATGTCACACAGCTCAGAAAGACAGACCCACTACACTGCCTTTGGAGTTGCTACCCCGGCACTATGGCAACTGAAAAAATTCAACATTATATTTAAGCTTATTAATTTATCCTTAGAACCAAAAAATTTAAGGCAGAAACAAGGACCAGGTGGATAGCTCAGTTGGAAGAAGGCTTGCAGGAAGCTCCAAGCACAGCTGGGAGGCCAGCAGCTGGGAGGTGGGAGAGGGCAGATCTTAAGTTCAAAGGCATAGGAAGGTCATCCTTGGACATACAGTGTACTCCCAGCCCACCTAGGCTACAAGAGACCCCATTTCAAGATGAATTAAAAACAGAAATGAACAACCTTGGGAAAAGAAAGAATTACTCTGTTCCCACTGGTGTTGGCTTTCAATAAAACGTGAACCCTTTCTCCTCCTCCTCCTCCAGTGACACACAAGCACACTCATTGTACTGCGGGAGCGTACAACACTTTCTCCCACTCACTCTTGCCGGGGATCAAGCACAATTCATTATATAAGTGGGCTTCCACGCGCCGAGAGTCGGAATAACAGCGCGAAATCCTCGGTACCCGGGGTGCTGCTTACCGTGAAAGCTCGCGCTCCGTAGAAGGGAGGCCCCGGGGTGCATCTCAGTCGCAAAAACCAAACAATAACCAAAAAAACCCCCAAGAATCAAAAGTTGGCAACCAGATGAGAGTCTGTACAGATTTAGGGCGAAGAATAATTCCGGCAGGTATAATGTATTGGGGCAGACACTGGGCTTGGTAGTTAGGTAGAGTTTCTAAAATCTGCCAGGAGACCCCATCTTACTGATGGGAAAACAGGATCTTAGGAAAGTAACTTAGGAAGTTACTTTCCTAAGATCACACATTAAGTGAATGGCTCTCAACCATTTGGAGGAAGCACTCCAAAGACGTAGGCTAGTGGGCTAACCTCTGGGGACGTTTCCTTCTGGCCAATAAGCCTGGAATGGGACCACTCTGAGTGGGTAGCCAGCCAATATTTGATGAGGAAAAGAGAACTTTTGGCAAGTGGGGACAGAACACTTTCTGAGTGGCAAGAGAGCAAAGCCATCGCCTGGCAGCCGATGAAATCTACAGGAAGTGGGGTAAACAGCGGAAGTGACTGGCTGGGTCCTCACACCTGTGTCTGATCCCTGCCCACTTCATCTGTGGCCACAAAGACAGCTTATCCCCATCCTTCAGAGGACAGAGAGCCTCAGACCTCCGGGCCAGTGAAAGGCCTGCTCCTGGTCCTGCCCACTTGCAAGGCCCTGTCTAGTGTTATCCTTATCATCCTCGTTCAGACTATAGCATTCATCCTTCCGGCCTGTCCACAGCTCCCCTCTTCTTCACCTAGGGGAGGGGAGAGGAGAGAAGAGGAGGATGGTGGAACTGGAGAGGGCCAAGACACCAAGCCAAGGTTATCTGATGTTATAACGAAGAATGGATGGCCATAAGACCAGTTCCTTTCTTCTAGATTCTAAGATTTGGAAAATTCTGTTAAATGAATAGAGAAAATTCAAAACCAGATCACTCACCAGCTTTATAATAATATAACTGATCAGGGATTATAGTCCAGCAATCACTTGTTCAAAGACAGCAAACGTAAAAAGCATATGGAAGACTCTTAGATCACGCTTACATGGGGTCAACTCCTTTATGAATATTTATGAGAGGAGAATGAATACAAGGCTTATAAAGGGGTTACTACATTCTTGGCTTTTCCTACCCTCAGATAAACTTTTTTTTTTTTAAAGTAATAGTTTCAGGCCAGGCATGGTGGCAAACACCTTTAATCCCAGCAATCTGGAAGCAGGGGGCAGACAGATCTCTGTAAATTCAAGGCCAGCCTGGTATACATATTGAGTTCAGAGCTACATGGAGAGATGCCATCTTCAAAACAAACAATGTTTCTGTCTGAGAACTCTAAAGACATCTGGAATGAGCCATCTCAGTGTCTTCTTCCTTAATTCTTTCAACTATGTTTCATAGGACCTTGGGGACCATCCATCACCACTCACGCCACCATTTACTCAACACATTTGTTAATCAAACATCACAGACTGTGACAAGGGCCCTCTGTGGGCTTTCTGGTCTGCCAGTGTCCTCAAGACTGCCACTTATCTTAAGTGAAAGCTCTTGAGATGTGGTCTAATTAAGAATGAAATTATTCTTTTGATTCCTACCTTGTTCTTGAAAGATCAAGGAAACATATTCACACCGTGTGCATGCCAGGGCATGAGGGGCTTCACGGTCACAGATTGAGACTGTGAGTGAAAATAAACAACCAACAACAAGCCCCAGTCCACAACCAAACAAAACAGACCCCAGTCCACAAGAAAAAGATCTAAAAAGGTTTCATTGGTGAAATCTCATCTAGTTTATCGGGGCACACAGGCTAGTTTACTTTGAATAAAGGACTCTATCACCCTTATTAACTTTACCTTGTTAACGTCAGTCTATTGTTCTCACCTATTTAGAATTTTGTTTGCGTTTCTGTTTTCAGACAGGGTCTCACTATGTCACCCTGGCTGTCCTAGAACTTGCTATGTAGGCCAGGCTGGCCTCGAACTCACAGAGATCCACTGCCTCTGTCCCCGGAGTGCTGGGATTAAAGACATGTGCTACCACACCCGGCTCAATTTCCTTTTTTTTTTTTTTAAATTATTTATGT